AGCCTGAGATTTAAAGCCTCACAAACCCTATACAGGGTCTCCATGAGTCAAAACCGATTCGACGGCACTTAGGGACAACAGAAACAAGAATCATAAGGAATTTATGATTTGATTTGCAAAGAGATTTTGCTACATAAGTGCATTGCTTGGCTTTTGGATTATTTTCCAAAAGTAGGATGTGTTTTCCCCATAGCGAAGCGGCAATATGGCAGGGTGAAAAGAATACTAGAGCTACGTTCTGCTTTCATCTTCCCATTCTCCCCCGCAGCATGCTGGTTTTGTGGGGTTTTTAAACTTTTGTTACTGTTGTTGAGAGTATACAAGTGGAACCTTTACTGATTCAACCATGTCTACATGTAAACTCAGGTGATACTGATTACGTTCTTTGAGTTCTGTACCCATTCTCGCCCTTGTTTTCTGATTTGTTCCTCTGTACTAACACAAACTAATTATTCCCTAAGTTTCCCATTGAATCTTTCAAGTTCTGTTATCACTCATTTTCATATAGATAATTCTTAAATGAGCACAATGTTAATAGTTAAGCGAAACCACTATTTGGCTTTAAGACTTAAGAGGATATTTTTGGTTTAATATTTAAAGTTGATCTTACGGTCATAGTTTCAGGGCTTCATCCAGCCTCCATGGCTCCAGTAAAACGAGACCATAAGAAATTGAAATCCTGTTCTGCGTCTTCCCCACCACCTTCTGATCGGGGTTCACTGTGAGTCATAACCAACCCCACGGCACTAAACAACAACAAGTGGGTGTATAACAAACCCTGCTGGTATAGTGGGTTAAGCATTGGACTGCTAGCCAGCTACAAGGTTACCAGTTGAAACACATCAGCCACCTCACAGGCAATGATGAGACTTTCTGCTCCTATCAAGATTTATAGTCTTGGCAAGCAGTGTGAGGAGACCTGGGGACTCCTGGGCCCAGAGTCAGTGGCATGGCCACGGAGGACTCAAGTGGAGAATGGAGCTGCCAGCTGATGGGAAGAAAGGACATGTGCACAAGGACACCCACACGGGCAGATGGTACCCACGTGACC